GTTAATGCATAGATAATGAATTTACTAACATGAACTAATCATGAACAACACATGTATAGCATTTATTAATCATAATTAAGCATTTACAAATGTATTATTAACATCCAAGTCCATGTTTGTTAACATTAGTTAATGCACTATGAGTTAACATGAACTAACAATGAAGTACTGTATTTTCATTAGCTAACGTTAACTAACATGAACAAATACAGTAGTAAATGTATTGTTCATTGTTTGTTCATGTTGGTAAACGCATTAATTCACATTAACTAATGAACCTTATTGTAAAGTGTGACCAGATATCTTATTGTAAAAGTGAGGGGGGACTTAAAGCCATTGTTTTTTTTTTAACACTTTCTTTGGAATTAATTGGCTAAGATGTTTATTAAACCAAAATTCTATATGTTTTTTTTATTTCTAATTATATGTTTGAATAAACAGCTTTTCTTCTTTTTATTTTAAAAAGGAATTTACTGTATAATAAACTTCCAGTTAAATTAACCAGTTTTCATCAGCAGGCTTTTCTTGTGTGGAAGTTGTGTTATCTTCACAACTTCTCACCACACAAAACTATCTTGTGGAATAATACAGATATAACTGTTAAAAATCTATCTCCTTATTGTGCTAACAGGTGTAATAAAGGCATAATTTATGTATATTTTTGTATGTATATTTTTATTTATGTATTCAATTAATGTATGAATTATTAGCCCTCCTTTGAATTATTATTTTGTTTTAGATTTTCACAGTATGTCTGATAATACATTTTCTTCTGGAGAAAGTCTTATTTGTTTTATTTCGGATGGAATAAAAGCAGTTTACATTTTTTTAAAAACATTTGGGACAAAATTATTAGCCCCTTTAAGCAATTTATTTTTTTCTTTCGATTGTCTACAGAACAAACTATCGATATTCAATAACTTGACTAATAACACTAACCTGCCAAGTTAACCTAATTAACCTAGTTAAGCCTTTAAATGTCACTGTAAGCTGTATAGAAGTGTCTTGAAAATATCTATTAAAATATTATTTACTGTCATCATGGCGAAGATAAAAGAAATCAGTTATTAGAAATGAGTTATTTAAACTATTATGTTTAGAAATGTGTTGAAAAATCTTCTCTTCGTTAAACAGAAATTGGGGAAAAAATAAACAGGGGCGAATAATTCAGGGGGGCTAATAATTCTGACTTCAACTGTATATATATATTTTTATTTGATTAGTTTTGTAACTTGCTCCTGTGAACACTTTATGACTGTTCATAACTTTTCTATTCCCTTTAAAGAATATAATACTGTTCTCAGAGCTATCCCGCAGGTTTAATGCATCTGGTCAAAAGTCATATACAATTGTTGGGAAAAAGGAATATATTTTTAATAAATTTTGTGTCTTTTTCTTTTCATTAAACAATTATTTGTATTGGTCATTTAAAGGTCAGAAATGAACTGATCTTCTGTTGTGTGTGGGATGCTTTGCATACTAATTAGCATTTTTGCAGATGTAGATAAAGTTGATAGAGATGAACATGCCTGATTTTCTAGATCAACTTGAGCTGGGCAGCTAGAAACTTCCTATCAGCAGTATTTTAACACAGAATATGCGCACTTGAGAAAAGTCTTATGCTTTTATTGTTGTGCAGAAAATTCATAGAAAAAGAGGACTTCTGTCTGGGGTGCAGCCAATGGAGGACTGGCCAATGATTGACGAATTTCACTAAACTCCACCTGTTAATATCAGCTGCCAATATTCAGTAAGTTGAAGTCAGGAAATGAAAACTGTTGCGCACCCCTGAACATAACTTTTCTATTGCATTGAGGATAACAGAATTCTGTGAATCTAATTATTCTTTTGTATCCAATTGTTACGATTTTTGACATTTAAGACAACCTCTCCTGACCTTTTTTATTGAATATGCACAGAATTGATTAAATATCCCAACACAACCCCCAAAAAATAAAAAAGAATTACCATATTGCTGGACGGCATAGATGTAATAATAAACGTTCATTTAATTTTTTCTTAAAAGATTGAGAAAAGCATGGGTGTTGCCTAAATACTTAATATTAATATAAATACTAAATAAGTCCACTTTAAAATATTGCATAAATATATCTAGTCGATTTATGGGTGGCTCAGTGGTTAGCACTGTCACCACACAGCAAGAAAGCTGCTGGTTCAAGTCTCAGCTGGGTCATTTGGCATTTCTGTGAGGAGTTTGTTTGAATGTTCAGCTCCGGTTTCCCCCATAGTCCAAAGACTCTAGGTGAGTGGAATCAACTAAATTGTCCGTAGTGAATGTGAGAGTGTCTTCCAGTGCTGGGCTGCAGCTGGAAGAGCATCCGCTGTGTAAAACATATGCTGGCGAGTTGGTGGTTCATTCCGCTGTGGCGAACCCCAGATGAATAAGCTGAAGGAAAATTAAATGAAATGAAAAATAATTCATTTATTTTCAAAAATGCTAATATTCCAAATAATTGTACATTTTGACGTTTTTTTTTTTTTGGGGGGGGGGGAGATTTTTATCCATAAACAAAAATGCACAGCTTTCAATCTCTACCTCTTATGTTTAATTTTTTTATTGTGAAAAAACAAACACTATATCAGTACAAATAGTTACATCTTTGTTGTTTTTTTTTCTTTTTACAAAAGAGAAGAGAAAAAAATAAAAAAATGAAAAATATAATGATTATAATTATAAAAGGGGAAAACAATGGAAACTGGAGTAATAAGTGTACAGAAAATTACAACGCTATCACAAATGTTCAGATACATTGTCAATGTTGAGAGTAAATATTTACAGTTAAACAGTATAAAACAGTAATAGTTAAAAACAAACAACAATTAAGTTACTACTAAATAAATAAATAAAAAAGGAAGGAGAGTGCATCTATTAAATGGAAGGCAAGACCTTAAGAGAGTTAAAGTAAGTTATGAAACATTGCCAATTTTTAAAGAAATTAGTTTTCCCAGAGCATCTGATCTTTTCCAACTTTAGAAAATGCATGGTATCTACAAACCATTGGGATGGAGGCTTATTTGATTTCCAGTGAAGCAGAATACGACGCCTGGCTACTAGTAAGGTAAAATTGAACCCAAAAATGGCAACATCAGGGGATGGGTTTATATTTACCTGCAACACCTTAGACATAATTGTAAAATACTTAATCCAATAACATCTGTAACAGAGGGCACATAAAGAACATATGACTTAAATTACACCTTGGTGCATGTCATCTGTCACACATGACATCAATATTGGAAAACACTTTAGATGGTTTTTGAGAAATGAATTCTATGAAATACTTTAAATTGTATCAGGCTAAGGCGAGCACAAATTGTACTAGAACGTATTCTCTGCACTGCACCAAGCCACCATTCTTCCTCAAAACATAGTTCCAATTCATTTTCCCAAGATTTTTTAATTTTGATAATTAATTTAGCTTTGAGATGGGTAAACTGAAAGTAAAGTAGCAGAGCAATGTCTAGCCATAAGAATCTAAAAAAAATGTGATTCTGACAACTTCCTTTAAGAGGAAAGTTTTGCATAGTTACAGAAAAGACCATCTCTATACAGGTCCTGAAAATTTCTTAAACCTTTTGCATACCATTGCTTAAATGCAGGATCCGTAAGGGATGGTGAAAACATGTCATTTATCAGTAGTGGCATTAATGTTGAAGCCGAGGTAATTAAAGTGTCGTCTGAATTGGCACCAGATCCGAACTGAAGCAACAACTACTGGATTGTGTGTAAGGGAAGAGGAGACGTTGAAAAATAGGAAAGAAGTAAGGAAAGCCAACAGAAGGTGCACATGAGTTGGCTTCCAATCTGCACCAAGGTGCAATAGATGAACTAGACCAGAATGTTACAATCTCTACTTTTTAACATTTTCTGATTAAGGTTGACTCACTGTTCAAATCTTTGCATAGGTGTAACAACCAAAAATGTGTCAGATCTTTGGTACTTTTTAAAGAGCTATTATCTGTTGACTCTGATTAGATTTAAATAGTCTTCCTTTAATGCTTATAATTTTATTTCACTTCCATAAGCTCAAGGGCGTATTTGGCATGGACGGGGGGGATGTCCAACAATATCTGAAATGTCCCCACTGATAACTAAATTACCTTCAAAATAAAATAATGCTCCTTTAACTCTTAGTAACATGCAGAAAAGGTTATATCACATAAATTTCTCGGGTCCTCCTTTCCACAAACACACAAGGACAATGTGATTGGCTGGGCCTATTTATGCTATTAATGACAGCTGCAATTGTGAGAAGTGCCAAAGCAAGGAAATTTTCCAGTCCTCTTTCACTGTACAAGATGTGGACATAAGTCTGCCTTTCAAAGAGTCGAGCTTTTAAAGTCAAGTTCGCTTGAAGTCCACTATAATAATATTAACCAAGGCTGTGCAATTAAACCAAATTTGGTTTTAATTTTGGCTTTCATGATTATGAAAATTGATAATAATCAGTATAAAACAGTTAAAAATTTCTCTACATACATTCATACCTATTCATGTTTTTAAAAGCACGAAAGATAATGCGCTATAGGGGTGGATGTCCCGATTATAAAAGCTAATCTACACCCTTGCATAAGCTACTATAGTAATTTACTTACCCCTTTGTTTTGATATTTTTTTCTCTCTGTAAAAATGCTATTTATTTAAATGCAGTAAAATACAATAAACCTGTATTTTCCTTTTATATTGATCCCCTGATTGTGTTTGTGTTTATCCATCAATACAAAAAAAAAATAAAAAAAAATTAAAAACACTTGATACTTCATACCCCTTAGCCTATTTCCCCCCTTAACTTTTGATAACAGGTGGTTAACTAACAAACTGAAAACTTTTTTGCGGGTTCCTGAGTTCTCGCTGTGGGCCCTCGCAGGGTTGGCTTGGTTCAGACTGTGAACCTGTCATCTGATAGTCCATGCTATCGTAACAGCCAAGAAGCGAGTCCCTATTGGTCATCCTCACTTCCGTTACTCTTTTGGCATGACCGCGCCACCTCGCGTCACTCGCTATGGGCTTTTGGGTTCGGACGCGGATTCATTCGTCCTCTAATTCATTCATTCACAGCAGAGGAGCGGGCTTCCTGGATCGGTCCACAGTTTTCAGCTGTCCCGTACTGCTGTTTAACGGAACTAGTAAATATGGTAAGGACCGCCGTGTTAACCGGTAATACATGTTTTGCGTGAGATTTCTCATTGATGAGAGATGCTGATAAAGATAACTTTCTGGTTTTGTACAATCACATGGGAATCTAAAAACTCTCAGCTTCACTTTTCTGAGTACGCAAGTATGTCTTTATGCGTTTGCCTTTTAGCAATGATTAATATTCCATTTCTTACTAAACTTTTTTTTCAAATATTGTTGACAACCCTGTAAATATGCATTGTCAGGTACAACCACGTTTTAAAATCACATTTTATTGTCACATCATCAACAACACATGTGGTGAACTTGCCCTAATCTGAGTGCAGAATACAAATGCCTTTTCACTCACTCACTGTCTCACACACACAGACTCACACACACAAAGTATATTGTAAAAATGCATAACTAAAATAAACTAAATAAAGAAAAATAGATTAAAATGCACACAAATAAATACATAGATGAACTAAAATGCTTTTATAATTCGATGTTTCTTTTTTAAGAATACGATTAACTTTTAACACACACACACACACACTCACACAGGGGGTAGTGAATAACCAGCATTCTCTTCCACTCTCAATACCACAGCTGAAGTAAGAACCCCAAAATGTTCCCAGGGCAGTACATTGTGTGTGAGTAGCTGTGGATAAAAATATATATTTGCTGAATGTAAATAAGAAATAAGAATCACATTTAAATGTAGTTTTATTACACACACATGCATGCTTACTTATCTTAATGAACATAATGAATCAGATTTTTTTATGCTGGTGCGGAAAGTGTGTAATTATTTTCAGATAAACACATGGTATAAAAACACTGTATAAGTGGAATAATTTACTTTAGTCCATTCAAATATTATCAACTGTTCCACACACAAGATGTAAAGGCTTAACCAAATCATATGTATTATACTGTAATATGACTGTATTATCCAAGAAACTGCTTATGCCTAAAATAAAGAAGAAAATGCCTAAAAAAAACTTTGAATCCAAGCCAAGTACCCTATAAAATGTCCTACCATAATTTTGGATTGCAAGTCTTTGTACTGGACTGTCTGTAATTAATTATAATTATATTACTGATTAAGTCTAGTCATCTTTATTTCTATGCATTTTTGTACAATATCATATCCAAGTCACATTTACACACAAATTATGCAAATTATGTTTTAAAAATACATATTTGTGATTTTTTTTACTATATTAATATTGAACATGTTTATATTCATATTTACATGGTGGTAAATTGACGCACATAAACACTATGTATGCATGCACAATTCAATCAGAAAATACACATACTGTATTCATAAGCGGTGTGTGTAATGTACTCATATTGCAAGCATTTAATATAGGCTCAGGGTTAGGGTAGAGATTCAATATACAGGTATGGAAATAAAATATATTGTCTTTACAGTATAAACACCTCAAAGCTTAATGCAGTGGTTCTCAATTCCGGTTCTCAGGACCCCCTGCCCTGCACATTTTGTATCTGTCTTTTTTGACACAAACAGCTGAGACATACAAGTATGTTTGCACTTGCCACCATTGAACTTTTCTTTTTTCAGTTTTTGTTGTTTTACATGACTATTTCCATGTATGTTTTTACTGTCATTTCACATTTGTACTGTTTGCTGTATTGTTTGCAGTGTTAGCTAATTATTCCTATTTTGACTAATAGAATCTGAATAGAATATGAATGGGGGCCAAATACACCTTGTTTTTCAACTAATTATGGAAAACTTACGCTATCATGGCTATTATCAATTCATGGTATTTTAGTATACAAGCAAAATAAATATGTGTAAAATAACTTCACTTCAACATTTTGTATAGTGATGAAAAAAAGCAAAACATGTTTCAACTGTACTCCATCTACCCTACTTGACCTACAGTATCTTTTCAGGGCTATTTTGGGTGGATTCAGATTTCAAGCTTTTACCCGTGCCTTTTGCTATCCTTATAATTCAGATTAATGTCCTAATAAACTGTTTTTGTGTTCTCCTGATTTTTCTCAAAAATGCTAAGTAGTAAATTATATAATTTTTTTTAAATCATATAAACACATTTCATTAATACATTATTACAGTAAGTACATTTCAACAAATGATTAATTTCAGTGTAAGTACACATTGGTTTGAGAAAGGCCACTTAATATAAAGTAGGACCAATTTTTTCCCCTTAACAGCACTTAAATATTAGGCTTGTGTGAACTGTGATGTGAAAAAGGACACGCTATGAAATGTACTTGTTCCATATTAAGAGATAAAAATTATCTGGTGTTTGGCAGGTCTTACTATTTAGAAGAAAACAAAAAGAAGAACAACAATGTGCAGTATAGCATTGACAAAAATTATTAATCCAATGCTGTAACTGGTAATCAGCAGAGGTTTTAGAGTAGCAATGATTATAACAATGAACCCAAGTACACCAGACAATTTACAGCAGGTCATCCTGACTGAAATGCTGTGGAGAGATATGCAAAAACACTCAAGAACTCCTCCAGTATTATCTGAGAGACTGATAAGGTCATAGATAAAATGATTAATTATACAGAAATCATTAATAAAGTAATACTTATACAGAAAATTGTTAATTATATTAACTTACTGCTAAAAGTTGATGTACAGGCATTTGAATAATAGGATGTCCCAAGTTTGCCACCTATTGCTATTCTGTCTTGATTGAAATTTTTAACATAGGATGATACATACAGTTGAAGTCAGAATTATTAGCCTCCATTTTTCTTTTCTTTTTTAAATATTTCTCAAATGATGTTTAACAGAGCAGGGACATTTTCACAGTATGTCTGATAATATTTTTTCTTCTGGAGAAATTCTTGTTTGTTTTATTTCAGCTTGAATAAAAGTGGTTTTGATTTTTTTAACCACCATTTTAAGCTTGATAATATTAGCCCCTTTAAGTTATATATTTTTTAACGATAGTCTACAGAACAAATCATTATACAATAATTTGCCTAATTACCCTAACCTGCCTAGTTAACCTAATTAAGCCTTTAAATGTGACTTTAAGCTGTATATAAGTGTCTTGAAAAATATCTAGTTAAATATTATTTGTCATCATGGCAAAGATAAAATAAATCAGTTATTAGAAATGACTTATTAAAACTATTATGTTTAGAAATGTGTTGAAAAAAACTGCTCTCTGCTAAACAGAGATTGGGAAAAAATGGGGGGCGAATAATTCAGGGGGGCTAATAATTCTGACCTTAACTGTATATATTTTAAATATGACATAAATTTACTCTTAAACTTGAAACCACACTCAAGAAATGTGTACCTTGAAAACATCAAATTTAAAGTAATAAAAAAACAGATTTTCTTTTATTTTGCAAAAAAAAAAGGTTGTTCCTTGCACATCTCCCCTTATGTGTATGTTATTTCCCATCATGATCTAATAAGTTTGTTACAATACTGCTTTAATCTTTCAAAAATTAGACGGTGTAGGGAGGAGAGGAATGATGACCTCTAAAACAAGAGAGCACATTGTTGTCACTGTAGTATGGAAAGTTTGCATTTTATTTCAGCTATTTCTGCATTTTAGTCTTTTTGCTGATTTAAAAGAAATACAAGCCATTTCAGAGAATACATGGAAAATCCTATTTGTTTGTGATAGGATAAATGTTAAGGTCATAATTTAAAGAATGGGGTCAAAAACAAAAACAATTGGTCAAACATTACGTCAAACAATTATCTAAACAGCTGAAATAGTTTATGCATTTTATGTATCTGTCTGCGTTCATATAGGACAGTTATTCTTGAAGCTTGCAATCTGACTGTTTATGTGTTGTTGTAAATCAGCAGTGAATGCATCTTCTTTAATAGAAATTCTAATATTTGCTTTTCTTTTCTTTTGTTTCAGGAATCATATGAAAAAATTGATAAGCTGTTGAATTCTGTAGTGGACAGCCTATTTGGAGAAAGAGGTTTGCACTTTTAACTCTTTTCCATCTTGCTATTATAAGTTGTGCCATTGTGAATAGTACTATGTAGTTTTAGTAAAGATCTTAGAATGGCCAAGAGGCGACACTCAATAGAACGTTCCATTGCAACAGCAGCGCCCTGCAACAGCCCCGGATTCCGCCATTTTGGAGTGAAAGCGGTTGGCTGTCCATTGGATCTTATTGCTGTCGCGATGGCAAACAGCTGCTTTTTTTTCATTTATTAATTTAAAAAGCGCATTAAAGCTGAGATACAACCTGAAAGACGACAATAGAACACTTACTATCACAATCATCAGCACTTTTAATAGGTATATTTTACAGACTTATAATATGCTGTTGTTCTAATGAAGTTTTCATTCCAAAATGGCCGCCGCGCCGTCTAGTGGCTGTTTCCCAAATTGCACTACAGTGTCGCCTCTTGGTAATCCTATGCTCTTTGGTTTTAGTATAATGCTGTTATCCCCTGTTTGCTTGTATTCAGTGAAATCCGCTCTTAGCAGTTAGTAATTATTTATATTCAAAATATGTGGACAGCACAGTGTCTAAGCAGCCCCTGAGTAGGAAGGTGGCTGGCTCAAATCCCAACCAGGGGTGCGTTTCCCAAACAACGATGGAACTCGCGGCTGAACTCTCATAGTACGATGCATCATTTGGGAAAAGAACAATGTTGTGACGAGTGTTTCCCAAAATGCAAAGTTTGTCTGTCGCAGATCCATCACTTCAACCACGTTAGTTATAACGTAAAAACATAATGGGCTCTAAACTGGGTGGAGTAACAACTTCTTTAGAGAAGAACCCCATAACTTCTTTGTGCAAATTATATTGTTTTACACAAACACACATTTAAAAAAAAAATCCAAATAGTTTTGGTAAAAACATGCACTCGCTTTCCATATTAATTGAAATATATGTAAATGGCATATAGGGGCTGTGTTTGCCTTACTAATATTATTGAGAAGTTGAACGTTACATATTCTAGTCTAAAACTTAAAATCACTTACAAAAGCTAACACGTATTCTAATATATAAATAAATAATGAGGCTATTTATGATAAAATAAAATGTAATATTTATTAGAAATTAAAAAATCATACTTTAATAATAATATTGATTATGATGATGATGATAATAATAATAATTATTAATATTATTAAGTAGGATATTATTTATTTTTATTCAAATTTTTTTTTTAAGTCTACTTTTACAATTTAACACATAAACCACTGCAGAAAGTTCTAAACAAAAGGGCTATGTCAAATACAATACAGATGGCCTACTTAATAAATAACCTACTGTAAATTAAAATAATTAACGCATGCTTTTTGTTTTCACAAGCTTTGGAGACGTAACATAAATTCCGCTTTTAAATAATTGGTCACCTATAGCTTTCGTCATGAGGCTGTGTTCAAAATGACATCGATGTTTTCAAAGTGCACTGTGAAGAGAGCACGATTGTAAACATGAAGATCGTAAAACTGTAAAAATAGTTTGAAAGCAAATTACACCTAAGAGAGATGACCTTAATGCTTTTTTTATTTTTAATAATTCCAACGTTTAGAATGTTCTAAAGGAAAAGGGCATAGGTGGGGTAAGTGGGAATAGAACACAGCCAGGAACTACGTTTTAAACTACAGCACCAGAGCTGTAGTTGCCAGTGCTCAAGTCTGCGAAGCAGTTTGCGAATGTTCGTTAAACGATGGATTTGGAAAACTCAAATCAACAAACTATGTTTGTAACGACGGAATTTGGGACCGTAGTTGGCTAACGATGGTTTTGGGAAACGCACTTCAGACCAGTTTCTGTTTAGAGTTTGTGTGTTCTCTCTGTGTCTGTGTGGGCTTCCATTAGGTGCTACGGTTACCTCAGACATTTGGTATAGTTGGCTAAAAATAGTTGCTGCAAAAATGCTTACTGTGTGAATGGAAGAGTTTGTGGGTGTACATTGAAAAAAATTATTAATTGGATTTACTTTTTTTAAGGTAAGTGCCAGCAAACAATTTATATGGGATGAATTTAAACAAACAAATGAAGGTTGAGCATTACTAAATTCATTTTGTGTTTAAATTCAGTCCATATAAATTGTTTGCAACAATTTTGCAAACATCATTCTTTTCAGTGTACTCTTACTGCTGGGTTACGGCTGAAAGGGCATTCACGGTGTACAACTTATGCCAGAGTAACTGGTGGTTTTCACTGTGACAACCCCTGGAAAAGCAGGGAATTAGCCGAAGGAAGATGAGTGAGTTTTGAAAATACACAAACGTGCAACAAAAGCAAATTAACCAGATTTAAGAACAGCCATATTAATTATATCAATTATTACAAATTTTCTCAGAGGGTTCTTTAGTTCTTTGACGACTCAACAAAAAGTAGTTATGTCCTAATTACTAACTGAATTATTAGCCTCCCAATTTATTCCCCCCCAATTTCTGATTAACGGAAGGAATATTTTTTTAACACATTTCTAAACATAATAGTTTTAATAACTCATCTCTAATAACTGATTTTTTTTTTTATCTTTGCCATGATGACAGTAAATAATATTTTACTAGTTATTTTCAAGACACTTCTATACAGCTTAAAGTGACATTTAAAGGCTTAACTAGGTTAATTAAGTTAACTAGGCAGGTTAGTGCAATAGGCACGTTATTGTTTATTGATGGTTTGTTCTGTAGGCTATTAAAAAATATGGCTTAAAGGGGCTAATACTATTGAACTTAAAATGGTGTTTAAAAATTTAAAAACTGCTTCTATTCTTGCTGAAATAAAACAAATAAGACTTTTTAAACATCATTTGGAAAATATAAAAAAAAATAAAAGGGTTGCTAAAAATTCTGACTTTAACTGTATGTCTCAAGAACAGTCAGCACAGTCAGTCCAAAGCTAAAGGTAAAATCTGCTGCTGTTTCATTAATCTTTAGCAATCTTTGTAATTAATGTGGTTATTTGAATTCTACTCACATCTACTCTTACTCCTCCTTCTAGCTGCTTTTTGCAGGCCAGCAGCAGCATAGAAAAGCCCCCAAAAAAATCCAAATGCTCCACCAACCACCATTATACATTAAACAATATTAAATTTGCATTCCTCAGGGACAACAGATGCAAATTAGTTCTATAGCTAACTTTGGCACAACATGTCATATACACGTCCCTGTAAAAATGAAATAATCTAAACTATAAATTCATTCTCCAAACTGCTCAAGCCTCCTTCCCTCAACTTTGAACTTTGTGACAGTACTGCCAAAGACAGTAACAGGAGAGCGATCACTGCTGAGAGCTTCTGAAGAGGTCTGGCAGCATTAAAAAACGAGTGACAGAGTGAGCGCACTGATTTTGTTCTGTTGTATGTGTTATAGGGACTTAGGGAAGAATATGCAACGGCACAAAATATCCAATCAGGGAGCATTTTCAGATCTCTGTGTTGCTTGTCCACTGGCACAGAGCACTAGCATTTGCTAACAGAAATGACCTCTGCTGTGTTAGGGGGCCAAAAACTCTAGGGCAGTGTGGAGGGGAGGCATAACCAAAGCAAGAGTTATGCATTTTAAAACTAGAATGCATTCATGTAAATGGGGTCTTAGCCAAGTGGTGTGACAATATCCAAGATATGAGATATCAGCCAATCAGTCCTAACAAGCCATTGCTAAACTTTGAACTAGTCTGCAGTTAATAGATAAAGCAAACAAGCGTCTCACTAGACAAGTTTTAATGAATGAAGATCGTAAATAAGGTAAAGAGTAAAGAGTTTGCATAAGTCATCACAATGGACAGAAGCACTTTTTCTGACAGTGAATAGAACGTGTATATTTATGCATTTTTGCACACAATACATAGCATAACATTCATAAATGCATCATCTGCAGTATATTTGTGCTCAGAGCCATCAAATTGTATATTGTATGGAGGACCTAACTGGGTAGGATGTGGAATGGAATCAATTATTGCATTTTAATAATAAATATTCAGCATTTTGTCAGAATAATGGTCTAATTAAAAGAAGTTGACAAAAAATAAGCATCACTTAGAAACAAGTTCTGTCTTGAAGTTGCAAAAAAAGCAGATGCAAAACATTTCATTTCACTTCATCAAGGTTTGTAAACTTTTTACCATGTTTTAATATTGCAGAAAAACAATTCATACCTAAGCAAATTGACCACAGTTTTTTTTCAACTCAGACTCATTCTGGAAAAGTAGCCCCGCGGATGTTTCTGGAGACCGCGAAATATGTCCCGGGAGGTACGTATTTGTGCAGTTTTTGGTTTCGCGAATCCGCACTGTTCACGCATTGTTCCCGCCCGCGCTGTTCTTATGTAAAAAGCTGCAAGAGGCCGCTGTCGAGCGACCATCTGTCCGACTGACGGACTGGCTGAATGACTTAACAATTGACTGGGCGGCCGGCCAATTGGCCGACCCAGCCACCCTCCTCCTCCTCCTGCTTCCCTAAACCTAAACGACAATTTACGAAAGCCGTGCAGAAAAAGAAAAGCCCTCGTCCGATTTTGACCACGTTTTTGGATTTCACCGCATTCCCACCCCATTACGAACTCGTTCGCTTTATTTTTTTGATTCTGTGTTTTGTCTTACCTGATTTCTGGAACCGCTCTTCCGTAGACTCGTACTCGGTCATCGAACCCAGCCTGCTCCTCCTTCTCTAGGCCTCCGCTCTGCCGACGTAACACTTCAAGCTAACCGAACAAACTGGTTGCGGCGGGAAAGCCCTCCACACAGAGGAGGTGAGCCGTCAGCCCAGCCGGCGAGCATGAAGAGGAGTGGCGTCACACCATCCAGTAGCGTTTGCTTGAAAAAACTTAATGCAGCCATACGCAGACATACAGTCTCCAGAAATGTCCGTGGGTTGTTTTCAGAATGAGCTTGGGTTGATTTTTTTTTTAGATAAAAGACTTCTGAACGTGTAAACGTAAATATTTTTTATTGACTACGATTGGACCATTATAAAGACATCATAACAGCTGAAATGGCTA